ACATCTACTAAGATGGCTAAAATTAAAAAGACAAAATTAAGTGTTGGTGAAGATGTGGAAATGTTGGAGCCCTGATACCTGCTGGTGGGACTGTGAAATGGTACAGCCGTTTTGGGAAACAGTTGATAGTTACTCAGATTATAGGCATAGAGTAACAACATGACCCAGAAACTCTATTCCTAAGTGTATACTCAAGAGAATTGAAAACTTACATCCATATAAAAACTGGCACATGAATGTGTACATAGTAGCCTTAAACTGGAAGCAATCCAAATGTCCATTAACTGATTAATAGATAAATAAGATGTGGTGTATTCATACAATAGAATATTATTCAGCCATAAAAAGCAATGAAGTACCGATTTCTGGTACAATATGGCCGAACTTTGAAAGCATTTTATTAATTGAAAGAAGCCAGACACAAAATACCACATGTTATATGATTCTGTTTATGTGAAGTGTTCAGAATAGGCAAATTCAAGTGACAGAATAGATTATTGGTTGTCAGGGGCTGGGCTAAGGAGGGCTGTGGAGTATCTGATAATGGTATGAGTTTCTTTGGGGGGTGATGAAAATGTTCTGGAATTTGATAGTGGTGATGCTTGCATGACCTTGTGAATATGATAAAAACCATTGAATTGCACCTTTTAAGATGATGAATTTTATGGTATCTGGGCTACATTATCAGTAAAGCCGTTATTTAATAAATTGTTTATCTTCATTTCTGAGAGTTTTAGTTCTCCCCAAGGCAGGTGCTCTGCCTTGTCCTGGTCCTGCTCAGATTTCAGTAAAATATCTAGATTGGAAGATAAGAAACCTGAGGAGTTACATGTGAAGTGCCAGCAGCTATAGTAGAGTAGAAGCTTAGTGGCTCAGTGGAACTCTGAAAGCAATATTCTCTGAGCTTTAGGTGTCGGGACAAACTCTGTGTGCTTAGCAGGGCCATGTTGTTCAGCACTGCAATACAGTCTTTGATGCTCTGGCTCTATGTCATTCAGAAAGGTTAAATTATGCTGAGCATCATGTTAATGGATTTATTAATAAGGAAGAGTTAAGGCATACTTTATAGGGTATATTTCTGTTCAATAGAAATATAACGTGAGCTGTATATGTAATTTTCTGTTTTTTAGTACCTGCATTTAAAAATCAAAAAGAAACTTGGAATTAATTTTAATATGTCTTATCTAACCTGAAATATTTAAAATATCATTTTTCATGTGGAAATATTTTACATTTTTTCATGTTGAATCCTCAAAATAATGTATTTCATACTTAGAGCACATCTCAGTTTAGGCTAGCCACATTTCAAGTGTTCATTGGCCACCCCTTGCTGAGTGGCTACTGTCTTGACAATGTTAAGAGTGATTTTCATGAAAGTAGATGGCAGAGCTTTCAGAGACGCAGCATGGTATACTGGTTTTGAGTTGGATCCAGATTCAGATTCTGGCTTTGGCTCTAGTGCTGCATTTATTTATTCTTAAAATATTTACTGACATCTGTTCTCAAAAATCATAGTCTATTTCTACATAGGGTCAGGCATATGAATACTGGAGAGAAGTATCATCTTTTATTGTGCTAATTATTGCAAGACCCAAGGAAGGCAGTGGTCATTTCTAGCTAGGAAAGAGTTGATGGTGTTCAGGAAGGGCTTTGCAAAGAGGAGAGGTCTGAGCTCCATCTTGGAAGAGGAGGTAGATGAGAGCAGAGGCGTTCTAGGAGGAGGCAGGAGCAAGGGCAGTGAGGAGGCTTGCAACAGCACTGCCCAGGCGATTGCTTATAGCTTGGTTCACATGGAGCAGGAATGCTTGTTTGAAAGGGTGGTGTGGCTGAGCTGGAGTTGAGGGCCATGTTATTCCAGGGCACCTGCAAGAGGCTTTAGAATGCATTCCTTTTTTCTTTTTTCTTCTTCTTTTTTTTTAATCTGAGTTCAAGATTTATTATCAAGCTACATTAATCAGGACAGTGCGGTATTTATGCTAAGTTGTTAAGTTATACAAATAGATTAATGGAATTGACTATGAACTGGAATTAGATCCATACATATACAGTCAATTTATATACAATGCATTTCATATTAGACAGTGAACACCTATAGAAGAGCTTCAAGAAGTAAGTGATGAGGTGGGATTTGATCTTTCTTGCGTTGTTACCTTGGGCAAGTTATTGAGCTTTCAGATCTGCTCCCTTAGTCTCCTGTTCTGCAACATTGGGTTATTGAAATCTACTCAGGCTGTTGCTATGAAGATTAAGTGAACTAGTATATGAAGCATACCTGATGGTCCAGCTCAGACTCCTGCTGAATCGAGAGACTGCTTCTCTGGTAGTGTCCATCTGTTGCCCTAGCTCCTGTTCTTCAATGTAGTTGTGCTGCAGCAGTACCCAGGGAAAGCTTTCAAGAATATAAATCGTTGGAGCACAACAATCAGCCTCAGGGTGGTGTCCAGGAATCTATGTTTAACAAATCTATGTTTAACAAATTCTCTCCGTGGTTATTATGCAGCCACCTGTTTTGGGTTTGCATACCAATGTGTAGAGTTCACGTCCTCAACTCTCGTCTAGGACTCTGGGCCATTCGGTAACATCAGCTCTTTCTGCCTCTTACATCAGCTTCCATGTACTGTTTCCTGGCCGATGGTCTTGTAGACCCTAGTCTGATCACAGTGGTAATTACCAGTGGCCTCAGGCTACTCTGTTTCATGTTGCCCAGTTGGTTCTTAGGTTGCTCTTCATAGATTGGCCTCATTGAAATGGTACCTGACATCTTCTACACATGTATGTATCTACTTCACAGACCTTAGCCAGTACTCCTTAATTTTGTTCACACTCTTATTTAATTTCCGTGTTAACATAAAGTCACTTTCTAACTCCATTCCACAACCTGAAGTATAATTCCAACTGGTCTATTAATTCAGAGCTGTTCTATTTGCAGCTCTTTATCTATGACCGTACCTATAATAATAATAATGACAATTTTCTTTTCTTTTTTTTTCTGTTACAATTAGTACTATCACCGCCATCATTGATACGTTTACCTTCAACCCTGTAGTGATCCACGGTAGATCCAAATCTCTCTGTTTAAAGGGGAAAGTCGCTATTGGAACAACACAGAGTGCCTCTGAATGTCATATTTACTTTGCTTGCATTTAATTTCATGGTCTTACGTGTTTTTAAGATTCTGATTGGACGTGAACAAAATGACAGGTTTCATCTAGCATATCAACTTTGACTTTGTCACCACCGTTCTGTGACCATGTCACAGAATGCTGATTTTAATCCTCCATTTTATCCTCACATAATTAATCTGAAAAATAGGGAATGAGAAATGGGTGGTACTAAAAAGAGATTAAAAAGTTTATTTGGCAGCTGGCTGCTCTTTCATGCAAAAACAAAACAATTTATAGTAGGCTGCTGGTTTAATGGGTCTCCTGGTGGGAGGGAAAATTATTTAAACCCTTTTCTATTCCTTCTTAGAAGAAAACGTCCTTTGGGAACTTGTGAATTTTCTACCTGGGGTACCCAAATGGCCTTGATTGCACTAGTTTTTACTCCCATTAGCGTTGTGCATGCTTTGAGTTTACGTTATTGTGGGGTGGTTGTGATGCTGTTGTGCTGGTGGTGGTAGTTGTGGGTAGGTCCTAAAATAGATGGGTTACTACATTTATTACAAGACAGAAGTAAATGTTCACTTCATTGCCCCATGGACTTGGGCTTGGACCTGTGTGGGGTGCTGCTCCCTGGCCACGCCTGTCCTGAGCTAGTGGGCAGCTCTTCTGCACGCTTCCCTCTGCATCTTATTCCTGCATCCGTCTGCCCCCTGCATCTTGTCCCTCGCTTGCTCTTGCCTGCTTTCCCTTTCACCTGCCCCTGTTGGAGATCAGCATGCTCTGTCTCACCTTTTTGTCTTCCAGCCCTCAGCTTTTCTTTCTGTCACATCTATGCTCTTGGAAAAGAGTCTTATGTTGCAAGGGGGAAGTCGAGGGGGTTGGAAGTAAACGGGGGACTGGGTGGGAAGAAATAATTGAAAAGATACACATAAGCCCTTCCAAATGCTGGAGGTCATTCCTTTCCTTTCTTATGTTTTAGATACCATTGATGGTAAATTAGAATGGAATCAGTTACTCATACCCAGACCATTGATGTTACTCAGAAAAATGATGTATGTTGAGCAACAGGTAGTTTAGAAAATGTAGTTGTTTCATAATCACCGGGGTTTTCAATCCTGTTTATTTTTTTTTGTTTGTAAAATTATGAAATTGCCATGTGTATAGGTAAAAAATGGTTGAATAATCAGCAATTTTGTATAAGTCAACCTACTAATAGCAGCCATTCTGTGGTATATATGCCAGTAACATTTGGGAGGAAAATTTGTCTCTTTTCTACCACTAGTAACTAGTCTTCCTGTTGGACAATTTAGAGAAGAGAGTTATTTGCTGATTTTTTGAATTAAAGTTTTCTTAACGATTTAATTAATATTAATGTTAATATTGTGTGTAGGATTCATAGTTCCTCTGTTTTTTTATTGCTTCTGAATTAGAAGAAAATAAGCATGACAGTATAAATTTGGTGCATAATATGAAAATTAAGATCTATAAAATGGACATGATTGTTCATATATCAGAGGTATTCTTCCCTTGACAAAAGCTCTGTCTTAAGTCCTTAAGATACTTCATTTATATGGTGTATTTAAGAATCAGTTTGCAGATCATTAACTACTTGAGGGATTAATATAGACAGAAAATTGAAGTCATGTAATCCACTGAGGATTAATCTGAAAATAAGATTAAGTATCTCTAAAATCCTACACTCAGCTAATGGAAAAAATGGTGAGTTGATGAAGCAACTCCAATTATGAAGAGTCTGTGGTATAATTATTGCATAGATTCAGGGACTTCTGAACTAAGTTTATGTTTTGGTGAGAAGACCTATTATAATGAAATTACTGTTTATGCCTTCCTGAATCTTTCTCCTTCTAAATTTTCCTATATCTTTTTCTTTTTAAGGTTTCCACAGCTGGATTGTTTACTAGGGCCCATTGTCACCAATGGCAGTAAAACTCATTTTCTGGCGAGCAGGGTGAGTTCATGTGGATTTCTACCTGATTTATTATTCCATTCGATTTGGGCCTGTGATTGTCTCTCAAATATTGTTTACTTCCTGATACTCAAGGTAAATAGCTGGTGGTAGTTTTTTTTTTTTTTTTTTTTTTTTTTTTTTTTAAATAAGTGACATTATTAATGAAACAAGTCAATGAAAATAAATTATATGAAAGCTTAATTTTTTTTTTTTAAAGCTGTGAGGAATCTAGTTACATATTGACTGAGTTCAAGTAACGTGTTAGTGATTTTAAATTTGTAGGGTGTGTTTAGAGTTGACACCTCTTAATAGCAATTGATCTTCTGTAACAAAGGGTCATGTTAGCATGTGTTTAGTAATATTAATGGACAGACATAGGACATGAGCTTTAAGTAGGGGATGTGCTTGATAACTGAAGTTACTGAGGGAAGAAGACCAGATTGGGAGGAAAAAAGTGAATGCAGTGCAAACAGTCCATTAAACTAAGAGCAGAAGCTTTAGTGAACAGCCGAGACCACAGAAAGCTTAAAACGTTTGAGGAAAGCTTTTCTGAAGGCTGCTGCTAGCCCATATGGTGCTTTGTGCAAATTAGACCAAAGCACCCCTCTGTAAGACATTTCACTTCCATCTGATGGGAAATTATTCAGCTATACTGATTTTTAGTACAAGACATTTTATTGCCATGTGCTAGAAAATTGTAATATAAATAATCAAATTACCCATCTTTAAATCATCAAAGTGTTAATAAAAATACGAACAGCTTTTAAACGAGTAGAGAGATGCTTGCGATGAGACTGATGCCTCCTTAAACATGGTGCTCTTCCACAGTGCGCAACCTGAGCAACTGGCAGGTTGGCTCTGCCTTGTTGGGATTCAACTCATGATAGACTCTAAGGAAGGAACACTTTTTATTAAGGTCTAGTCATAGGGGACAGAGGATAGAAACAAGAGTTTGAGGTTTGGCTTTGACTAGAAACTTGGGTGGCTTGAAAGAAACTTATCGGAAGCACACTAGCTATAGGTTTGGGGTCCCAAAGGGTTAGCCTGAACTTTCTAGGGCTAAAACTAGGAAAGAAACACCTAAACTGTGCTTTAAACTAAATTTATGACTGAGTTGCTACCATGTGGTGATTTATAGTATGTGCTTTCGGATTCGCCCTACTTTAATCATGAAAGCTTCATTCTATAGATCACCACCTGTGTGGTGTCCTTGTTCTCAAAGATGATTTAAACTTGGACTGTTTTTCTCCGTAAAAGAGATTTGCTTTCAGAATGTTGAGTACATTCATAATGGATGGTTCTTCATTACTTACAAATTTTTGTAAATAATCTTCTGATGAAACAAAAAGCTATGATGTTGCTATTAGGTGTATTTGATAGATGTTGGTTGACAAATACAGGCTAAGTAGGATGTGGCAATACTTTGGGGCCAGATTTAGGGGCTGCAGGTGGAGTATGTGACTGGTGATTGAAAAGTTAATGAGGAAATTGGAACAGATATGGGGAAAAGTCATATGCAGTGCAGGTAGGTGGATGTGGCAGTCATGGTAGTTGGAGTCATGGTGAAAGTGGTGGAGGTTGTGGGGTGGTGAGGATGGTGGTGGCTGCTGGAGTGGCTGGATGGTTGGTAGTGGAGGGCTGGCAGCTGCCCCTGTGGCGCTGAAGACACCTAAGAAGGAAGAGATGACAGATGGAAAAGATGCCAGGCTGTGGACACAAATTATGTGGCCTAAGTAATAGCTTTTGGTTTCTTGGGTGCTGGAGACAAATTGACCAGAGGGATATTCAAGGGGCCCTCTCTTTGTGGGATGAAAAGTTCGTTCTTTTTTTTTTTTTTCTTTTTTTGATGTGGAATCTCACTCTGTCACCCAGGTTGGAGTGCAGTGGCACAATCTCGGCTCACTGCAACCTCCACCTCCCAGGTTCAAGTGATTCTCCTGCCTTAGCCTCCCGAATAGCTGGGATTACAGATGCGTGCCACCACGCCCAGCTAATTTTTGTATTTTTAGTAGAGATGAGGTTTCACTAGGTTGGCCAGGATGGCCTTGATCCCTGACCTCATGATCTGCCTGCGTCAGCCTCCCAAACTGCTGGGATTACAGGCGTGAGCCACCGTGCCCCGCCAAAGTTTGTTTTCTTATTGTATCATTTATCCCCTTCTCCCCCATTCCCCTCTATGTATATAGTGGAGGATTTGATACTCTGAATACAGAAGCACAGAAACATGATCGATTACAAAAACCATTCATTCAAAAACCATTTTTGCCCCGGTGTTATTTACATCTAAAACGACCTCCCCTCTGCTCCCTCAACACACAAATGATCTATGTTTTGAAGAAAGAAATGTAGATTTTTTTTTTTTAATGAGTGGAGGAGGCAGAAGGAAAAAGGGAAACTAGATAAAGAAGGCTTAGATCAATTAATTCCTCCCACCCCTGCAGTTGTTTAGCTGTCTGTTCTACTTTGTGGATATTATCCTTGCCTGTGGAACACCAAGGGGAGTGAGAATATGAAGGCACTTTGGATCTGATGTTTGGCACCTGTGATACTGAGCTAATAATTTTGTGTTTCATGTTTCCTTATCTTTCAGTAGAGAGAATGATATTCCTTATTAGAAAACACAGAGGGAATATTTGTGAAAACACTGGCTTAATGAATATTAAAATGAAACAGAATGATAGGTTTGATGATGATCTGGTATTCTCACTGTCCTGAATCGTCATGATTTTTGGATTGAAATAATTTGTGATTGCATGGTCCAAATAGTTGTCCTCATTCTTTTAAAGAGGAGATCGTTTATGGTGATTCTGTAAAGATGTATATACTCTGCAGCAAGAGAGATTTAGGGTAGCACAGCTTTTGAAAGAGGGGAGTTAGTGGGTTATCCTGCAGTGGATGTTAGATTAGGTATAGAGCACCACGTGCTTGATGCGTGCTTAATGGGACAGAATGACTTTACCCTGTGCAGGTGCTAGTAACAGCCACGTACAGTGGGTGCTCCTAGTTCAGTACTGTGCTGAGCCCGGAACCCCATCTGGGGAGGTGCTGCCATGGCTCTCGTTTTACAGCTCTGAGAGGTGAAGCGTGGAGCTACTGTTGTAGCCAGCCATGCCCGTTGCCACTAGGCTTTCTGGCCTCCTTGGAACCTGACTGGCTCCACTTTTTAATGTCTTTCTCATTTCTCAAATATTATGCATTTCAGACCAGCCCATCTCATCCCCCAGAGCTGCTTTAAAATTGAGCAGATAATTCTATCATTAGAGGACACCAGCTGAACAAGGCCAGGGGAATCCTAGAACTAAATTTGTGCCACATAATGAGATGTGAGGGGATCGTTGGTTGCAGTTGGTTTCCTAGAGACCTTAGAGATTTCTGAAGGTTATTTTTTTTTTTTTAATTTATTTTTCTGTCAAAGAAGGTCCTGTGATTCAGAAGTATCTAAATCATTGAAATACCTCAGATTTGGAGAATGTGAAGAAACCCAGCAGTGTGTGCATCTTATTTTCTGCTTTAAAATTATCCTCAAGAATAGATTAGAAGCACCGGGGTCACAGAGTCTGTTTTTTGAGGCAGGGTAAGGTTAATCCTTTTCCTAATTCATCTTTTTCATTAGGCAGAAAACACAGGAGGAAAAAAAAAAAGACCAAACACAGTTTAATATTTAAATTCATAGATCCAGAGCCCAGAATTTTAGTATGTTGGTTATTGGGATAAAAGGAGTGGTGGATTCAGTAAATGTCACATGAGCAGTTCTCTTAAGATGATAGAAACCATATAAGCTTCTTTGTTGTCCATTTTTAAATGGTGCATAAGACTGTGCAATTTTCTCTGAACCACTCTCTTGTATGTACTGTTACGTAGCTGCTGTAGCCAGGAATTAAACCTGTGATCTGTTTGATATGAGGCCAGATTTTATTAAACTAGGTCATCAGGGCACACACAGGGGGCTGGGTCATGCTGGCACTGTGTCATCTTTGGAAATTAACTGGGTAAGCATGCCAGTAGGCAAACGAAGTGGCTTTGCTCCTGCTATTAGAAGCAGATAGCAGGGAGCTGTGTAATATTTGAACATGCATCCAGTTAATGATGAATTACAATGGGAATCCTGGAAAACTTCCTGCAATACTCATATTATGTCAAAGGAGTTCATCATATTTGAAATTATCACAGGAATTACAGAATAATTCAAAATGAATGGGTAATTATTCAAGTGTTATGTGAGTTATTGCTTCAGCTTGCACATTCTTAATACAGTGATTTCTTCCCTCTCCTTGTAGAAGCACTGAGAACCTGAGCTGACATCAGCCATTTGGTCGCGATTTCCTGGGGCAGAAGCTGGGGAGTTTGCATAGGGAGATCATTTATGTTCTTCTTTTGAAGGTTGAGTTTGGTTCTGTCTAGGAGATAGGAGAATGAATTAAATGACATTTAAAAAATGGCTTTTTAACATCTGCTTTTGCCTGAAAGGGATTTTGTATTTAATTATCTGTCATATTTATGTAGTTGTTACTCATTGTACTTAGCGTCCTGATTTTTAAAATGCTGCTTGTGTGTGTGTGTGTGTGTGTGTGTGTGTATTTAATGTTCAGTTGCTAATATGGGGATATTTCTCTGAGATGCCAGGATAGGAGAAAGGCCTTTTCAGAAGTCCTTGTCCACCCCACATGGCTTGGGAAGCAGCTTTGGCACATGGCGAGGGAGGAAGGGGTCTGCAGCATTTGTGTGCGTGTGTGTGTGTGTGTGTGTGTGTGTGTGTGAGAGAGAGAGAGAAAGAGAGACAGAGAGAGAGAGAGTTGGAGTCTCACTCTGTAGCCCAAGCTGGAGTGCAGTGGCACAATCTAGGCTTACTGCAACCTCCACCCCCTGGACTCAAGCAATTCTCATGCCTCAGCCTCCTGAGGAGCAGGGACTACAGGCGCACGCCACCACACCCAGCTAATTTTTTTTGTATTTTAGTAGAGACAGGGTTTCACCCATGTTGCCCAGGGTGGTCTCGAACT